GTGACACTGAAACCCTGAGCATGAGATTGTTTTTATTGTTTTAATATGTACTGTTGTTTTAATTAATTGTTGATTGTTTCATATTGCTTGTGTATTGTTTTGGGCATCTAATTGTGCCCCACTGTAAGCCGCCCTGAGTCCCCCCGGGGTGAGAAGGGCGGGGTATAAGTAAATGAAATGAAATAAATAAATAAATAATGGTATAGTACCATATAGTAATATTTAATACTGATATTGTACTATGCTAATAATATAATATATTGTATGTATATGTATGTGTGTATGTGTGTATATTACAATGCCATAAAAATCTCCAGCAAGCATGCAAAGAATGAGAAAGTACTTCATCAATATAATACTAATAATAATATGACATTATAATTCTATCTTTATGTTATTAGTAATATTACATGTAATATTATTAATAATATCACAATATAATGGTATAGTACAATATAGTAATATTTGATGTCACAAATAAATAAATAAATACCTTTATATACTGATAGTTATGTTATCATGTGTACACTTTGGTACTACTACTAAAATAATCTATATAAATACAAATGTAACGTTCATTTGTGGAATTAACATAACTCAAAAAACACTGGACGAATTGACACGAAATATGGACACACTACACCTCTCAGGCCAATGAGTGACCATCACTCATAAAAACTCCGGAGACCCCGGTGGTGCAGTGGGTTAACCCCCTGTGCCGGCAGGACTGAAGACCGACAGGTGGGTGAGCTCCCTCTATCAGCTCCAGCCCCTCATGCAAGGACATGAGAGAAGCCTCCCACAAGGATGATAAAAAAAAAAACATCAAATCATCCGGCCGTCCCCTGGGCAACGTCCTTGCAGACAGCCAATTCTCTTACACCAGAAGCGACTTGCAGTTTCTCAAGTCGCTCCTGACGCAACATAAATAAATAAATAAATAACACTAAAAAACACAACAGAAGAGACTTAAAAAGTGAAAAAAAATAAAAAAAAATACATTACAACGCATGCGCAAAACCACATATATACACAAACATACACATATACAAAAATATTGTGTCTGAATATGTGTCCAGTTCTGGGCACCACAATTCAAGAGAGATATTGACAAGCTGGAATGTGTCCAGAGGAGGGCGACTAAAATGATCAAGGGTCTGGAGAACAAGCCCTATGAGGAGCGGCTTAAGGAGCTGGGCATGTTTAGCCTGAAGAAGAGAAGGCTGAGAGGAGATATGATGAGGGCCATGGATAAATATGTGAGAGGAAGCCACGGGGAGGAGGGAGCAGATCAAGGGTCTGGAGAACAAGCCCTATGAGGAGCGGCTTAAGGAGCTGGGCATGTTTAGCCTGAAGAAGAGAAGGCTGAGAGGAGATATGATAGCCATGTATAAATATGTGAGAGGAAGCCACAGGGAGGAGGGAGCAGATCAAGGGTCTGGAGAACAAGCCCTATGAGGAGTGGCTTAAGGAGCTGGGCATGTTTAGCCTGAAGAAGAGAAGGCTGAGAGGAGATATGATAGCCATGTATAAATATGTGAGAGGAAGCCACAGGGAGGAGGGAGCAGATCAAGGGTCTGGAGAACAAGCCCTATGAGGAGCGGCTTAAGGAGCTGGGCATGTTTAGCCTGAAGAAGAGAAGGCTGAGAGGAGATATGATAGCCATGTATAAATATGTGAGAGGAAGCCACAGGGAGGAGGGAGCAACTTGTTTTCTGCTCGCAATGGAACCATGGCTTCAAACTACAAGAGAGGAGATTCCACCTGAACATGAGGAAGAACTTCCTGACTGTGAGAGCCGTTCAGCAGTGGAACTCTCTGCCCCGGAGTGTGGTGGAGGCTCCTTCTTTGGAAGCTTTTAAGCAGAGGCTGGATGGCCATATGTCAGGGGTTATTTGAATGCAATATTCCTGCTTCTTGGCAGGGGGTTGGACTGGATGGCCCATGAGGTCTCTTCCAACTCTTTGATTCTATGATTCTATGATTCTAATATACACACACATATATACACACACAAAACACATATATACACAGACTGGGCCACAGCAACGTGTGGCAGGGGACGGCTAGTAATAATAACAAAAGAACCACAAAGAAAGTATGAAAGCATAGCAGGACTTAAGTGTACCACAGCCTGTCCCTGGTGACTAATGGTGGCTCCCCTTTGTTTGTTTCCTCCCTTTCTCTCTCTCTCTCTCTCATCCAAGGCGGAGGTCTCCAACAAGCGTCACCGCCCCATTGGGATCGGGGTGCAGGGCCTGGCGGACGCCTTCATCCTGATGCGCTTCCCCTTCGAGAGTGCCGAGGCTCAGCTCCTCAACCAGCAGATCTTCGAGACCATCTACTACGCCGCGCTGGAGGCCAGCTGCGATCTCGCCAAGGAGTGCGGCCCCTACGAGACCTACGAGGGATGCCCCCTCAGCAAAGGGGTAGTCCCAGGCCTGTAGCGAGGGGGTGGTTTAGGGGTTCAACCCCCCCCCCCGAAATGTTTCAGATTTTTAAAAAAAAAACCTGGTTTACTCATGAATTTTAACTGGTTAACCAAATCCCCATGCTAAGTCTATGAGATGCAAAAAATTAAGAGTCCCTCCAGAACTGCAAGCACTATCTCAAGCAAATATTGACAATTTATTCACACTGTCATTACTTGCAGCAATAGCCGATGTAGTGAAGCAACCAAGTTGGGTGTGTGTGTTGAATGCTCTCATTAAGGAGGCCAGACTTGGTGGAGGTGGTTGACAGGGGTGGAGCTGCAGGCTATTGAAGGTTGCTCTGCCCCCTGCTGTGCTCTTTGCTTCAGCGTGAGCTAGGAGGCAGGTTTCAACCCCCCCCCCCCCCGAAATTTTCAACCCTCCCCGAAATTTTCAACCCCCCCCCCCCCAAATTGTCAACCCTCCCCGAAATTTTTTTCTGGCTACGGCCCTGTTTACCAAAAGGGGCTGGGCGAGATGGGTGGGTCCATCCCCAGAGGTTTGGGCCTACCACTCTCAGAAATCCCAGCCAGGATTCCTGGGAGTTGAAGGCCAAAACATCTGGGGAGACACAGGCTGAGAAACACTGAGCTAGGTGTCTCTTCAACTCTATAGAGGAGTCTGTGGCATGTCGTCGGGCCAAATTTGTCTAGATCAGGCATGGGCCAACTTCCCTCCGGTGTTTTGGACTTCAACCCTCACAATTCCAGTAAGCTGTTAACAGTTAAACGGTTCAGGACCTGCTTGTCTCCTGTGCCATGTTAATAATGTAATGTAATATAATATATTGTATATACATATAATATTTATAATATTATAATGTAATGCAATATAATACTAATACTACTAATAATAATATGTATTGTCGAAGGCTTTCATGGCCGGAATCACTGGGTTGTTGTAGGTTTTTTCGGGCTATATGGCCATGGTCTAGAGGCATTCTCTCCTGACGTTTCGCCTGCATCTATGGCAAGCATCCTCAGAGGTAGTGAGGTCTGTTGGAACTAGGAAAAAGGGTTTATATATCTGTGGAATGACCAGGGTGGGACAAAGGACTCTTGTCTGCTGGAGCTAGGTGTGAATGTTTCCACTGACCACCTTGATTAGCATTTGATGGCCTGGCAGTGCCTGGGGCAATCTTTTGTTGAGAGGTGATTAGATGTCCTTGTTTGTTTCCTCTCTGTTGTTTTGCTGTTGTAATTTTAGAGTTTTTTAATACTGGTAGCCAGATTTTAAACTCTAAAATTACAACAGCACAACAACAGAGAGGAAACAACCAGGCACATCTTAACACCTCTCAACAAAAGTTTGCTCCAGGCACTGCCAGGCCATCAAATGCTAATCAAGGGGGTCAGTTGAAACATTCACACCTGGCTCCAGCAGACAAGAGTCCTTTGTCCCACCCTGGTCATTCCACAGATATATAAACCCTTTTTCCTAGTTCCAACAGGACCTCACTCCCTCTGAGGATGCTTGCCATAGATGCAGGCGAAACGTCAGGAAAGAATGCCTCTAGACCATGGCCATATAGCCTGAAAAACACTACAACAACCCAATAATAATATGATTTTATAATTATATATTGATATTATTAGTAATATTTTTGGATCTCATCTCCCACAATTCCAGTAAGCCATTAACTGCTAAACGGTTCTGGACCTGCTTGTCTCCTGTGCAGTGTTAATAATGTAATGTAATGTAATGTAATGTGATATAATATAATATAATATAATATAATATAATATATTGTATATACATATAATATTTATAATATTTTAATGTAATGCAATATAATACTAATAATAGTAATAGGATATTATAATTATATATTTATATTATTATTAGTAGTATTATATTGCATTAAATTATATTATAATCCAGAAATACTACTAATAATATGATATTATAATTATATATTTATATTATTAGTAATATTTTTGGATTTATAACATTATAATTTAATACAATATAATACTAATAATAATAATATGATATCATAATTATATATTTATATTATTAGTAGTATTATTGGATTTATAACATAATTTAATGCAATATAATACTAAAAATAATAATATATTATAATTATATATTTATATTATTAGTAATATTTTTGGATTTATAATATTATAATTTAATGCAATGTAATACTACTACTAATAATAATATGATATTATAATTATATATTTATATTATTAGTAGATTTTTGAATGTATAATATTATAATTTAATGCAATGTAATACTACTACTAATAATATGATATTATAATTATATATTTATATTATTAGTAATATTTTTGGACTTCAACTCCCACAATTCCATTAAGCTGTTGGCTGTTAAATGGTTCAAGACCTACCTGTCTCCTGTGCTATGTTTATAATATAATATAATGTATTGTATATACATATAATATTTATAATATTATAATGTAATGCAATATTATATTATAATTATATATTTATATTATTAGTGAGCCTCCAAAACATTTCTGCCCTCATTTGAAGAGAAAAAAACCCATATAGCAGAAGCTAGGAATAAAAAGATTTTTTTTTTCAGTGAGGGGATTTATTCTTAAGAAGTGGGCATTTATTATTTACTGATGTTGATTGCAAATAAGTATAGTTTACGCACTCTACTGGAAAAACACATTAGCTTTCCATTGACCAGATATCAACAAGAGTACAAAAAAACTAGTTATTTGGAAGACATTTTTTCCCCACACCACACCTTAGAGACTCACAGTTTGAAAACACATATATAGATCTGATGTTTTAAATTGGCTGTCTTCTATTTGTAATTTTTGGGCTTGTCCCTTGTAAGCCGCCCCGAGTCCCCTTCCAGAGATGGTTGGCGGGGTATAAAAAATAAAGTTATTGTTATTATTGTTATTATTATTAGCCCAAAACACCTGGGGGTTGCTGATGTCTACCCAGAATCCAGAAAGCAGTGCCTTTTGATGCGTTCGTTCTGATGCGAAGCACATGTTTATCTCCTACAGATCCTGCAGTACGACATGTGGAACGTGGTTCCCACGGACCTTTGGGACTGGAAGGCCTTGAAGGAGAAGATTGCAAAGTGAGCAGAAGCCATTCCTTGGGTGGAGGGGTCCTTGACCCTTTAATACCGTCCTGGGCAAACTTCGGCCCTCCCTCCAGGTGTTTTGGACTTCTTCTGGGAGTTGGAAGTCCAAAAACACCTGGAGAGCAGACCTTAGGCCCCGCTTAAGAAGGCCTTCGTGAAACTCAGCCTGTCATTTTCCTCTTTTCCATCTTTCCGTCCCTCCGCTTTAGGCACGGGGTCCGGAACAGCCTCCTGGTGGCCCCCATGCCCACGGCTTCCACGGCTCAGATCCTGGGCAACAACGAGTCCATCGAGCCCTACACCAGCAACATCTACACCCGGAGGGTCCTCTCTGGAGAGTTTCAGGTAACAGAGCGGCAATGGGGTCTTCCTTGGGCGAGGGAAGGAGATACAGTCCTTCCTGTATCATCTGAACATGAGGAAGAACTTCTTGACTGTGAGAGCCGTTCAGCAGTGGAACTCTCTGCCCCGGAGTGTGGTGGAGGCTCTTCTTGGAAACTTTTAAACAGGGGCTGGATGGCCATCTGTCAGGGGTGGTTTGAATGCAATATTCCTGCTTCTTGGCAGAATGGGGTTGGACTGGATGGCCCATGAGGTCTCTTCCAACTCTTGGATTCTATGAGTCTATGAATAACTTTTCAATAACTTTAAATCATAGATTTTATTGGACTGTACTTGAATTCTTTTGGACGATGATTTTAATCTGGTGATTTTAATCTGGCGAACAAATTTTAATATACATATATGTACATATATATTATATTATATATACTATTTTAATGTATATGAATGTATTTATTATGTGTTTTATATCATGTTTGGGTTTGAATTGTTGTCGGTTTGGAAGCCCAAAGTGACCAGACTGCTTTCCCATAGCAGATGTGACACATATGTACACTATCTCTCTCCTTCCCAGTGAAGCAGAGCATAGTGGGTGGAACAGACTCCTGTGTTTTGCCACACTTGAGAATTATCAGATCAAGTCTTTTATAGGAATATCCTGTTGATGTCATCCCAAAGTTGTAAATTAATGGTAGACGTCTTTCATCCATCCAGCAAACTCAGTTTCTTGGCCAGTTTTTGGTTTGCCTACTTCCAACAGACCTCACACCTCTGAGGATGCTTGCCATAGATGCAGGCGAAACGTCAGGAGAGAATGCTTCTAGACCATGGACATATAGTCCGAAAAAACCTACAACAACGCATTGTAAACATTTCTCTTATCACTGTCACAGTTCTTGTCACAGTTTATTTTTCAGTTCTCATTAGCAACTTTTAATTATAGTCCATGGAGCAGGTAGTTAGTCATTCAGTCCACTCATGACAGAAGAAGGGGTTGGGCTGGTGTGCAGCATTGTACTGAAGTATCCGTTCTGCATTGCTGTCCCTGCAGATTGTGAACCCGCACTTGTTGAAGGACCTGACGGAGCGAGGCCTTTGGAACGAGGAGATGAAGAACCAGATCATCGCCTGCAATGGCTCCATCCAGGTGGGTCACAGGCGCGGACCTCTCTCCTCAGATTCCTTGCTTTAGGAAGCCCTCAAAGCCCTGAGAGAAGCAGGACACAAATCTCCTCTCCTCCTTCTTCCTTCCAGACCATCCCCGAAATCCCGGACGACCTGAAGCTGCTCTACAAGACGGTGTGGGAGATCTCCCAGAAGACGGTGCTGAAGATGGCCGCCGACCGAGGGGCCTTCATTGACCAGAGCCAATCCCTGAACATCCACATCGCCGAGCCCAACTACGGCAAACTGACCAGCATGCACTTCTACGGCTGGAAGCAGGTGAGCAGCGGGTGGGAGCCTCTCCCTAGACCTCTCCTGGGGATCAGATACATCCTTATTATTATGACTGTTATTATTACTTCTGTCCTGCTTTACCTGTCTTGAAAAGAGACCCAAAGCAGCAAACTTTGGCCTCCCTCCAGATGTTGTGGACTTCAACTCCCTAACAGCCTCAGGCCCCTTCCTTTTCCCCCTCAGCTGCTTAATTTGGACACAAGACACCTCTCAGGCCAATGAGTGATCATCACTCATAAAAACACTGAAAAATACAGTGGAAGGGACTTGAAAAGCCAAAAAACAAATATTACATTACAAGGAATGCGCAAAACCACACACACACACACACACACATATATATGCAAACACACATATACACAAATTATACACACACAAATATACACACAACACATATATACAGACTGGGCCACAGCAACGCGTGGCAGAGGATGGCTAGTATATTAAAAAAACCTATATATATATATACACACACACATACATATACATACACACACATACATATACATACATACATACACACACACATATACACACGCATATATATATATATATACACACACACACATACATACACAGACAGCCACAGCAACGCATTGCAGGGGATGGCTAGTATATTTAAAACACACGCACACACACACACACACACACACATATACACAAATATATACACACAAAATACATATACACAGACTGGGCCACAGCAATGCGTGGCAGGGGATGGCTAGTATATTTAAAAAAAAACCCTCTCTCTCTATAGATAGATACAGATATAGATATACACATACACACACACACACATATACACAGACTGGGCCACAGCAATGCGTGGCAGAAGATGGCTAGTATATAAAAAAACCCAAATATGTACACACATATACACAAATATATACAAATATATGCACACACAAAACACATATACACAGACTGGCCCACAGCAACATGTGGCAGGGGATGGCTAGTGTATATATATGAACAAATATATATATATATATATACACACAAACTTATACACTAATATATGCACACATATATACACACACAGACTGGGCCACAGCAACGCTTGGCAGGGGATGGCTAGTATATTTAAAAAAACCCAAATATATACAAACATACACACAAATATATACACACACAAAACACATATACACAGACTGGGCCACAGTAATGTGTGGCAGGGGACGGCTAGTATAAAAAACCCCCAAATATATATACACACACACACATATACACAAACTGGGCCACAGCAATGTGTGGCAGGGAATGGCTAGTATATAAAAAAACACACACACATACATACACACACACACACACACATATATATATATATACAGACACACAAACAAAACACATATACACAGACTGGGCCACAGCAACGTGTGGCAGGGGATGGCTAGTATATTTTAAAAAAACCTCTATATATATAGATAGATATAGATATATATATACACACAGATATACACAAATATATACACATATATATACACACACAAAATACATATACACAGATGGGCCACAGCAACACGTGGCAGGGGACAGCTAGTATATATAAAAAAACTAATATACACACACACACAAATATATATACACACAAAACACATATACACAGACTGGGCCACAGCAGTGTACAATATAATAGATTGACTTTTTGACCATGAGACCCATTTAGAAGTCTCTGATCTTTCAGAAGCAACGAGGCTTGGATTGTGTTTCCTTCACCTGTGGCTGGCTCTCCTCCTCGGCAGGAAGCCCCAAAGCCCATCACTCTCTCTCTGTTTCTTCTGACGTGTTTCTTAATGCCGTTTCCAGGGCCTGAAGACCGGCATGTACTACCTGCGGACAAAGCCGGCGGCCAACCCGATCCAGTTCACGCTGAACAAGGAGAAGCTGAACAAGGAGAAACTGAGCAGCGCTGGGAAGGAGGAGGAAGGCGAGGAGGAGAAGAAGGAGCGCAACAAGGCGGCCATGGTCTGCTCCCTGGAGAACAGGGACGAGTGCCTCATGTGCGGGTCTTAACTGCGGAGGGAGCGAGTGGCAGAAGATAGGATTAGGTAGGTCTAGTTTACCTGGGACAAAGAGAGAGGCTCCCAGAAGCCTTTGACGTGCCTTGCGGCCATCTTGCAGGACCCACACTATTCGAATTTGGGCCTTCTGGGTGTTTTGGACTACAACTCCCACTATTCCTAACTTAAGCGGCTTAAGCGGCTGAGGGGGAAAAGGAAGGGGCCTGAGGCTGTTAGGAATGGTGGGAGTTGTAGTCCAAAACACCCAGAAGGCCCAAATTCACCCATCCTGATATAGGTCAATTTTCTCTACTGTTGTAGTCCTGGGACTGGACATTCCCTGTGTTATCCTTTGCAACTTCCTGCTGTACGATGTTCTCTTTCACTTCCCAGCAACAAAGCCCGTTCCTTCCTGGCCATCCTGAATCCGTGGCCTCTTTTTGGTGGCTCTGGACTATTTATTGAGGGCAGGGGGTCCCAGGCAGGGTCCTCTGACCCACTTCAGTGCATTAATAAAAACCTTGAGGTGCAAAGCTGGTGTCTGGAGGTCTTTTGTGGGGAGCCTCCAGGCTCAGGGAATGAGCCCATTGTTGTTGTTGCTCTTGTTATTGTCCCTATTTCTACCCTACCTTTCTCCATCATGGGAAAAGAGCCTCAATTCAGGTGCAAAGCTTGTGTCTGGAGGTCTTTTGTGGGGAGCCTCCAGGCTCAGGGAATGAGCCCATTGTTGTTGTTTCTCTCGTTATCGTCCCTATTTCTACCCTACCTTTCTCCATTGTGCGAAAAGAGCCTCAATTCTTGCCACCATCCATTATTCTTGGTCTTGCAAGCAAACTAGTCCAATGTGGGTTGGACACTACTTAGTTCTTACTTAGGCGATCCCTCGTTGTCCGAGTAGGATTGTCATCCAAGATCGGTGTCCTGGCGGTGGGTCCGTAGGTGACTGTGAAGCCCGATTCTTGACCCACATGTTCTCCCACACCTTCCTCTTGGCACGTTTCTCTCTTTCGCCCTCCACTCGTGCCTCTTCGAATTCTGCATCACTGCTGGTCACAGCTGACCTCCAGCCGGAGCGCTCAAGGGGCAGGGCTTGCCAGTTCTCAGTGTCTATGCCAGACTTTTTAAGATTGACTTTGAGACAACCTTTAAATCTCTTTTCCTGCTCTCCAACATTCCGTTTTCCATTCTTGATTTCGGAGTAGAGCAACTGCTTTGGGGGATGGTGGTCGGGCATCCGGACAACGTGGCAGAGTTGATGGCTGAGGAACATAGCTTCAACACTGGTGGTCTTTGCTTCTTCCAGCACGCTGACATTTCCCCGCCTGTCTTCCCAAGAGATTTGCAGGATTTTCTGGAGGCAGTGCTGATGGAATCGTTCCAGGAGTTGCATGTGATGTCTGTACACGTCTCGCAGGCGTAGAGCAGGGTTGGGAGAACAGTAGCTTTATAAACAAGCCCCTTGGTCTCCCTACGGATGTCCCGGTCCTCAAACACTCTCTGCTTCATTCGGAAAAATGCTGCACTCGCAGAGCTCAGGCAGTGTTGTATTTCAGCCTCAATGTTGATGTCTGTAGACTGTCCACGTTTCGCAGGCGTATAGCAGGGTTGGGAGGACAATAGCTGTATAAACAAGCAGCTTGGTCTCCCTACGGATGTCCCGGACCTCAAACACTCTGTGCTTCATTTGAAAGAATGCTGCACTCGCAGAGCTCAGGCGGTGTTGTATTTCAGCCTCAAAGTTGATGTCTGTAGACTGTCCACGTCTCGCAGGCATATAGCAGGGTGGGATGACAATAGCTTTATAAACAATCACCTTGGTCTCCCTACAGATGTCCCGGTCCTCAAACACTCTGAAGAATGCTGCACTCGCAGAGCTCAGGCGGTGTTGTATTTCACCCTCATGGTTGACGTCTGTAGACAGTCCACGTCTCGCAGGTGTATAGCAGGGTTGGGAGGAGAATAGCTTTATAAACAAGCCCCTTGGTCTCCCTACGGATGTCCCAATCCTCAAACACTCTCTGCTTCCTTTGGAAAAATGCTGCACTCGCAGAGCTCAGGCAGTGTTGTATTTCACCCTCATGGTTGACATCTGTAGACTGTCCACGTCTCGCAGGCATATAGCAGGGTGGGATTACAATAGCTTTATAAACAAGCACCTTGGTCTCCCTATGGATGTCCCGATCCTCAAACACTCTGAAGAATGCTACACTCGCAGAGCTCAGGTAGTGTTGTATTTCAGCCTCAATGTTGATGTCTGTAGACTGTCCACGTCTTGCAGGCTTTTAAACAGCCTGGATGGCCATCTGTCGGGTGTGCTTTGAATGCAATTTTCCTGCTTCTTGGCAGAAAGAGGTTGGACTGGATGGCCCATGAGGTCTCTTCTAACTCAAGGATTCTATGATTGTGTGAGCTGTTCAGCAGTGGAACTCTCTGCCACAGAGTGTGGTGGAGGCTCCTTCTTTGGAGGCTTTTAAACAGGCTGGATGGCCATCTGTCGGGCGTGCTTTGAATGCAATTTCCTGCAACTTGGCAGAACTGGCCCACCAAGTCTTTTCCAACTCTAGGATTCTAGGATCCATGCGTGCAAAGTCCACCTGGGAGTCACCTGCTGCTCTCCAGAGAGAGCTGCAATCCCACGGCTCTCCACTGGGGGGCAGCAGCAGCTCACCTGCAGGAACCTGGCCAGACTGACCAACTGAGCAAGAATCATAGAATCAAAGAGTTGGAAGAGACCTCATGGGCCATCCAGTCCAACCCCATTCTGCCAAGAAGCAGGAATATTGCATTCAAATCACCCCTGACAGATGGCCATCCAGCTCCTGTTTAAAAGCTTCCAAAGAAGGAGCCTCCACCACACTCCGGGGCAGAGAGTTCCACTGCTGAACAGCTCTCACAGTCAGGAAGTTCTTCCTCATGTTCAGATGGAATCTCCTCTCTTGTAGTTTGAAGCCATTCCTCCATCGCGTCCTAGCCTCCAAGGAAGCAGAAAAGAAGCTTGCTTCCTCCTCCCTGTGGCTTCCTCTCACATATTTATACATGGCCCTCATCATATCTCCTCTCAGCCTTCTCTTCTAAACATGTCCAGCTCCTTAAGCCGCTCCTCATAGGGCTTGTTCTCCAGACCCTTGATCATTTTAGTCGCCCTCCTCTGGACACATTCCAGCTTGTCAATATCTCTCTTGAATTGTGGTGCCCAGAATTGGACACAATATTCCAGGTGTGGTCTAACCAAAGCGGAATAAAGCATGGGGAGCATGACTTCCCTAGATCTAGACACTATGCTCCTACTGATGCAGGCCAAAATCCCATTGGCTTTTTTTGCCACCACATCACATTCCTGGCTCATGTTCACCTTCCTGTCCACGAGGACTCCAAGATCTTTTCCACACGTCCTGCTCTTGAGCCAGGCCTCATCGTCCCCCATTCTGTCTCTTTGCATTTTGTTTTTCCTGCCAAAGTGGAGTCTCTTGCATGTGTCACTGTTGAACTTCATTTTGTGAGTTTTGGCCATTCATCTCTCTAATCTGTCAAGATCGTTTTGAATCCTGCTCCTGTCCTCTGGAGTCTTGGCTCTTCCTCCCAATTTGGTCCCGTCTGCAAACTTGATGATCCTGCCTTCTAGCCCTTCACCTAAGTCATTAATAAAGATCTTGAGCCTGGACCCGGTCCTGTTCAACATCTTTATTAATGACTTAGATGAAGGGCTAGAAGGCATGATCATCAAGTTTGCAGGCGACACCAAATTGGGAGGGATAGCCAATAGTCCAGAGGACAGGAGCAGAATTCAAAATGATCTTGACAGATTAGAGAGATGGGCCAAAACTAACAAAATGAAGTTCAACAGTGACAAATGCAAAATACTCCACTTTGGCAGAAAAAATGAAATGCAAAGATACAGAATGGGGGACACCTGGCTCGAGAGCAGTACGTGTGAAAAAGATCTTGGAGTCCTCGTGGACAACAAGTTAAACATGAGCCAACAATGTGATGTGGCGGCAAAAAGCCAATGGGATTTTGGCCTGCATCAATAGGAGCATAGTGTCTAGATCTGGGGAAGTCATGCTACCCCTCTATTCCGCTTTGGTTAGACCACACCTGGAATATTGTGTCCAATTCTGGGCACCACAATTCAAGAGAGATATTGACAAGCTGGAATGTGTCCAGAGGAGGGCGACTAAAATGATCAAGGGTCTGGAGAACAAGCCCTATGAGGAGCGGCTTAAGGAGCTGGGCATGTTTAGCCTGAAGAAGAGAAGGCTGAGAGGAGATATGATAGCCATGTATAAATATGTGAGGAAGCCACAGGGAGGAGGGAGCAAGCTTGTTTTCTGCTTCCTTGGAGACTAGGACGCAATGGAACAATGGCTTCAAACTACAAGAGAGGAGATTCCATCTGAACATGAGGAAGAACTTCCTGACTGTGAGAGCCGTTCAGCAGTGGAACTCTCTGCCCCGAAGGGAGTGTGGTGGAGGCTCCTTCTTTGGAAGCTTTTAAGCAGAGGCTGGATGGCCATCTGTCAGGGGTGATTTGAATGCAATATTCCTGCTTCTTGGCAGAATGGGGTTGGACTGGATGGCCCATGAGGTCTCTTCCAACTCTTTGATTCTACGATTCTATGATTCTATGACCGGGCACAGGAGGGAACCCTGCGGATGGCACTCCGCTCGTCACTTCTTTCCAGGATGAAGAGGAGGAAGCCTTGGGGAGAATCACCCTCTGCGTTCGTCCAATACAATTTGGAAAAAAAATGTTCTGTTCCTGTTTTGGCTCAGCACTGAGATGACCATATGACACAAATGTAATGCACGCCCTCATACAGGGGAGGTAATTCAACCCAAATAGGTGAGTATTAGATTCAGGTTCAAAGGGCATTTGGTGAAGAGCAGAGGGCAGCATATACATGACCTTTAGGGAGGAAACAGGAAGGGAGCCATGCAGGATGATGCTCCAGGAAGGCTTTTATCAACTCTCATTGTTTCAGGCAATTCATCACAGAGGAGGAGACGGGATGAGGGCCAGGGAACAAGAGGGGAAGGGAAAAGCAAACCACAGACCACCTACTGCAGTGGTTCTCAACCTTTCTAATGCCGTGACCCCTAAATAAAGTTCCTCATGTTGTTGTGACCCCCAACCAGATTTTCGTTGCTACTTTATAACAGTAATTTTGCTACTGTTATGAAATGTAATGTAAATGTCTGATATGAAGGATGTATTTTCATTGTTACAAATTTAACATATTTAAAGCATAGTGATTGATCACAAAAACAATATGCTAGGGGAGTATGGACAATGGATGATGGGATTTGCAGTACCTTCAACTGATTCAGCTCTGACTTCCACAGACCATTGAGACTCCCACAAATTATAGACCTGGAACAAACTTGGCACACAACCCTAATGACCAACAGAAAATACTGGAGAGGACTGGGGTACAATCTCACTTGAATTATTCTGCTTTGGTTAGACCACACCTGGAATATGGTGTCCGATTCTGGGCACCACAATTCAAGAGACATATTGACAAGCTGGAAT